CTTGAGCATGGACTCTTTTGAACAGCAATCACCTACAGTATAACATCCTAGTTCATCTAGAACACTATAGCAACGCTTTGGCAACCATCCTAGCATTATAATGGTGAGTTTTGCATGAGCAAGCACTAAAATCTAGTTACTGTTCCTTTTCTGTGTTTGTTTTATGAGGATGGGATTTGGGTTCCGGAATTGCTATATTGCAAAAAAAATATGAACCCAAGAGCTTTTGATGCAACATTTGATGCACAGTATTTTTTGATGAGAAGTAAATTGGTTATGAAATATTAATGGTTTTGCATAGATTAATGAATGGTACAGTAGTAGATGCTTCTTTAAAAAAAAGAAAGAAAGAAAATGCTGTTTATGGGAAGGTTCAGCTCTCGAAGAGCTGTCAGTTCCTGGTACTGTCCATGTTTCTGAAACAGCAAGTTTGACTGCCCTCAGGCAGGCTTTTGGAAGAGAGCGACCTAGTGTTCACCACTACTGCTGCTGTAAAATGATACAGTGACTATGTAGAAGTGAACTAAGCTTCATATGAGATGTTCCCTCGACAAATCTCAGGAAGAAAAATCTTCTGTTGTTTTTCAGGATATTAGGGGGGGCTTAATTCCCTCCTGAATCCTTCCTGTGTTCCTCTTTTTCTTTGATGAGCGTAGGATATTAAGTTACGAGGGCATGACGCGTGTTTTAAGCCTCAAACATTATGACAGTGCTTAATGCATCACTTCCATTAACGTTAACAATGCAAATGTGTTTTGTAGTTGTCGTGACAACAGTGGCAGACATTCAGAGTGAATATTTTGGCATTACCTTTAATAAATAATTGCTGTAATGAAAATACATTGGGCTTTGCGTTTTTAAAGCTAACAGGGAAAATGCTAAACTTTTACAATTTTACAGTACAGTAAATTATGTTTCTAGGTCAGTACTCTATGTGCTAGTTTTTTTTCTCTTTCTTGAGAATTGCTGCCATATATTAGGATCTTGCATAAACAAGTGCAATAAATAATTACCAAAATAGTAAGACAACAAAATTGTCTCTGAACTAATAATGAAGTCTGAAAATCCAGTGTAGGATTTTGTAATCTAGTGTTTGATTCTGCATGTATGTAATGTCCAAAATATGAAATATGAAATATAATGTATATCGTTAGCCACATTTGAAGCCATCATTAATGGTTGATAAATGCATATCTGTGACCATATTTTCTATTTTAGTGCACCAAGTTGCTATTTATTTTATTTTATTATTTTATTTTCCAGCATATTAGTTAATATTTTATTTTATGTAATTTTATATCATTATAATCATATTGTCAAATATCATATTATTTTATAGTGCAGTTATTTTCCATTTTTTGTATTTTCCATGTTTTTGTTTTGTTTTTTGTTATTTTCCAGTCTTTTATTTATTTGTTTTTGTTTTTGCTTTGCTTATGCTTTTGTTTGTTTTTTGTTGTTGTTATTTTTCAGTCTTTTATTTTTGTTTTGTTTGCTTTGCCTCACTTTGTTTATGCTTTGTTTTGATTAGTTTTTTTATTTGTTTGTTTTTTTGTAGTTGTTTTGCTTTGCTTTGCTTATGCTTTGTTTTTAGTTTAGTTTAGTTTAGTTTTTAACAATAGTCCATTAATCTTAAAGTGCATGCTAATCTCTACATAATAAATTGTATTTATATTTGTTGATTGTATCTGCATGTAACCTGTGCAAGGTTAAGTTACGCTTGTAATGTTGCTTTGAACTACTTACAAGCAAATAATATCAAATTAATGCAGCAAGATGAAAGCCTGTACTGTGTAATTTATTTAAATGCCCACAACTGGATAATATTTACTTCATAGGAAACCAATATATCACCCAGCGCACAATGACACGGCTGTGAAAGGACTTCAGTGAGTGTCCGTGTGTTTTTCTGTCAACATTAGAGTTATGTGTTAAATCTGCTGGCAGCTTCTTAGCACTAAAATGAATGTGGGTGCAATTTCCTCTCCACGCTGTAAGGTTTTAATTGGTGGTACCCTTCAAGCGATAATCGACAAATGCTTCCTGCCTCTTGAATCCAGTCTTGGTGGCAGGTGATTGTAAAGGTCAAGCAAGAAAACCTACACTGACAGTCCTGATGAATGACAGGGCCGCTTGACTGAGCCACTGGGGAGAGAGACACCAGGATGGCTGATTTTCTCCAGCGTGTTATTGCATGCAACATTTTGCATATGAAACCCTGGGCTTGGTTTTGCTAACAGGCACGGCCACATTCAAAGTATATTTTATAAACATTATTTTAACACATTACATAAGCTGATTGTAAGTTTCTAGGTTGTGTAACATATTGTAGCTACAAGTGTATTCTTACACGAAGCACCCTTAACCATCACATAGTGGGGTTTTTAAACAATAGCAGTTATTAGACCACCTACATGGTAGTTTAGCATTATCAAGACGTGCTAGCATGGAAAGGTCAATTTTATTATTTGCAAACCTTTCACGGGGCAAAATGCACAGGGAATGTGGTGAGTGCTAATAATTAATCTTCGGCTGTCTTGCTTCGTCTCGTTTGCGTATGCCGTTATTTAAGCTTTAGCAAGGAGCCGTTAGTCAGATATTTCATCTGACCTCTTTGCTTTAGTTACTGTCTGAGCCGCTCTCTCTCTCTCTCTCTCTCTCTACGTCTCTGTCACTATCTGATATTGCTTACTGTCTTCCTCCCCAAACACCCAGACATTTAGTTTGCCATTCAGAAATCCTGTTGTGATGTCTAAGGCTTGTGTACACTTCAGAAATATGGTGTGTGCTAACCCAAAACACAGAAAACAGCTCCATCTGTACCTTTTGGAAACCTTAAGTCCGCTATAATAAAAAAACAGGCAATAAAATATACAATGGGGTCCAAAAGTCTGTGAGCCCAATAAAGTGGGGTTTAAAATCTAGCAAAAAAATAAACAAAGTTTTAGGATGCAAGACCTCACTGTATATATTTTATTTCATTTCATTTCTGACAAAATATTAATTATTTTATTTTCCAGTTTATTTGTTATTTTTTTGTTTTATTTTCCAGTTTTGTTTTGTTTTGCTGTGATTTTATAAAAACAATAGGACACTCAAGGCGATTTTAAAGTTTTATTTTATAATTTTATCATATTTATTTGATATGTTATTCTTCTATTCTTTTTAGAATTTTAATTCCCAGCTAATGTTTTGTTTGGTTTCTTACACTGTCATTTTATTCAAACAACAGGACACTCAAGGTGATTTTAAAGTATTTATTTTATTTTATTTTTGCTTCCATTTTATAAAGACAATAGGCCACTCAAGGTGGTTTTTGATGTCTTTTGGGAATTCTAATTATATTCATTCATATGCTATACAGCTTAAAGTGCATACAAACCTTTACATAATAAATTATTGTTGATTTTATTGGCATGTAAATGCTGCATGTTACGTTACACTATAATGTTGCTTTGATCTACTTAGAAGTAATTAATGAAAATAAACAAAGGCTTCACTGTATATTTTAAGTTAAATGTGGCTGATTTATTCATTTAACCAAGTTTGTGATAAACAAGGCCTTTTCATTTTCTTCTGGTGAGTCAGTTCAATTATTCCTGCAAGGTAGCAAAGACCCAAAAGATGGAGTAGAAATATTAAAATGACGTGATATACAGTCTGACATTTCAGTGTCCTGCTGCACTCCTAAAGTCATCCGCAGATGAAATAAAAACACGCTCAGTCTGGGCAGATAGGGACTGTTCAGAAACATTTGGTGAACCCAGTGACTTCACAAAAGGCCACAGAGAGATAAACAAGTGGAGCTAAATGACCAGACAGTAATACAAAAATATTATGTATTGGGAATAATAGGCACTCAAGTCAACAGCAATGTGTCAAAATGTGTCCATTTTACTTTATTGATGTGTTCCAGGTGTTATTGTGAATGATTCATCAATCACATTATTCCAAATTAAAGACAAGTTTGTCTTGGTAATCTTTCATCAAGATATAATAACTTGCGCCACCATCTGAGATGACTTTCCCTTTCAGCTGATTTAGGCTGGTCCATCAAAGGACCTACTTCTAATCAAGAACCGTTTTGTCTTGAGTTGACTGTGTGGTTTTGTTTTGTTTTTCTATGTTCAGTTTATACACTGAACAAAATTATACCATGGGCCACTTGATCCACAACGTTGACATCAGCAAACCGCTCTCCCACACGATGCCATACACGCTGTCTGCCGACGTGGATGGATTATCTCGGCAAAGGAGAAGTGCTCACTAACACAGATTTAGACAGATTTGTGAACAATATTTGAGAGAAATAGGCCTTTTGTGTACATAGAAAAAGTCTTAGATCTTTGAGTTCAACTCATGAAAAATGGGGGCAAAAACAAAAGTGTTGCTTTTATAATTTTGTTCAGTGTATTTAAGTTATTATGCATAATTTTTTATTTTAATTCCAGGTATGATAATTTTTTCTAGTTTATTTTACAGCATATTGGTTAATATTTCATTTTATTTTCCAATTTATGTTCCAGTTATTTCTAGTATTTTATTTTCAAGTTAATTCTAAAGTTATTTTATTTTATTTATTTTTACTGCTATTTTATACAATTATTGTATAAAATAGACAATTATTTGATTTTTGATGTATTTTGGGAATTAGAATAATAGTAATTCACATGCTGTAGCTAAAAGTTAATGCTAATCTTAAATTATAATTATTGTTTATCTGCATATCACCTTTACAAGATTACGTTATACTGGAATTTTGCTTTGAAATACTTACAAGCAAATAATATCTAATTAATTTTCTTTTATTTTCCACCATATTGGGTATTTATTTATTTAATTAATATTATTTATGTATTATTTATATATTGGTTGATACTTAATTTGTATTTAGTCTAATTTAAATTCAGTCAATTTAATTTATTAGTTTTTTAATTTAGACATTGTGTATGCCGTTGAATTTATTCAAAAATTTGCTCTCTCTCTCTGTAGTGTTGATCATGCCGCGGAGCCCCATGTCTAGCGAGGAGGAAATGGCTCAGAGTTTCTCGGACTCAGTCAGTTCGGAATCAGACAGCTCCAGAGATGAGCCTCCAAGGCTGGATCGACCTACCAGTGCCCGACTGGACAACAGCCTGCGAGACACAATGCTCATATGTGTGGTCATCCCTGACCTGCAGCAGACTGTGCGTTCACACACACACACACACATACAGGTGCATCTCAATAAATTAGAATGTCGTGGAAAAGTTCATTTATTTCAGTAATTCAACTCAAATTGTGAAACTCGTGTATTAAATAAATTCAGTGCACACAGACTGAAGTAGTTTAAGTCTTTGGTTCTTTTAATTGTGATGATTTTGGCTCACATTTAACAAAAACCCACCGATTCACTATCTCAACAAATCAGAATATTGTGACATGCCAATCAGCTAAGTAACTCAAAACACCTGCAAAGGTTTCCTGAGCCTTCAAAATGGTCTCTCAGTTTGGTTCACTAGGCTACACAATCATGGGGAAGACTGCTGATCTGACATTTGTCTAGAAGACAATCATTGACACCCTTCACAAGGAGGGTAAGCCACAAACATTAATTGTAAATTTTTGTTTAAATTGATAGTTTAGTTGTCCTATAAAGATTGCCAAAGTAAAACATAAATCACAATACTTATAGGTATTAAGCAGTGACATTGTCAGGCTTTTTATTTACAAAAAATAAACTTTTTGAATGTGGCAGGATTGTAATATAACAATTAATAACAAGTTTTTATGCGATACAGATTAAAGTGGCTTCATAAATTACTTTTTAAAAATATTAAAAACGCAAAACACACCTGATGCAAATTCTTTGCTCTTCATTTTCTATAAGCAGAGTTAACAGACCCTGTTGTATTTTCTTGTAATTTATTAAAAGTAGGTACACCGCCACCTTGTGCAGACTAAACTGACTTGAACGCACCTGACGTTGTAATTACGACTTGTCAACTCGTAAGTACGAACGTCCCAGGAGGACTTGAACGCAGCAATACATACATACAAACACTTCTGTTTCACCCCAGGCTGTTGGGCCATATGGATCTTTCTAAATTATATTATTACAGTAAATTGATTCCCTCTTACAGGTTCAGCCTTCTCTGGAGAGCTGTTTGGGTTTTGGTGAACTAAAAAAATGGAACGTATTCAAGTGGGATAGGCAACAAGTATTTTTGACCTATTTCACGCACACAAAAGTAGAAAATTACATTTGTCATGCTTTAAATGAAGAAAGTTCAGAAAAGCAATATCATGTAGAGTCATTTAACACAGGTGTTTTCCATATGTTAAGGTAACAGTTTTATTGGTTATTCCTTTGCAGTAACACTCAAGCAAGCCAGATAAATTAAAGTTAATATGAAAAATATTCCAAAGTCACACTTTTTAAATCCATAAAAACACCAGTGAAATACAACAGTTGTTTAAAATTTTCTTTAAAAGTATCATTTATGGCAAATGCATGCTGTCTATTAGAGGCCTTTTTTTGTAATATTGAAACCAAATCAGACCACAAATGGTATAGAATTTGATTTATTGTAAATAAAATTGAAAACCAAAAAACACTAAGGGAAACCATTTTTACTGCTTTCTCTCAAGACAGATTCTTTAAAAATATCTGTGTCTGTCATTACTGAAACTGTTCTTTTTGGAGGAAGCAGAGGATTGAATTGTGTTTGCACATAGCTGATGTGGTTATGGTTAGTATATTGTGCAAGTTATTGTCAGTGTCACATTTATTGAGCATTACAATTATCCAAGCTTTCCATATTCTGCATTTTCATGTCAGCAATACCATTTACGTGTCAACAATACCACAATATCTCAGTCACGTTGAGGGAATAAAGAGGAGGTAGGATAGATGTTATTAGTTCTAAAAACCAAAAGAACAAGACGCTATTATTCAGATAAAAGTATTCTTTCAAAGTATCCCAAGAAACAAGCATTCTCAGATAGCATTTGATTGGACAAAAATCTGTGCAGTGCAGGATGAATCATCAGTATTTATAGTTTGATGTGAAAGAGTACATTTTAAATGCTTGCTGGTGAAAGTGCATTTTGTTAGTATTTAGGAGCTTACAATACTAGCATATAAATTAATTCAAAGCCTGCATGGACTAAAAGTCATTGAACTACCATTTATTTCACGTGGCTTTAAATACACAGTTAAAGGAATAGTTAATCGGAACAGGATTGGAGAAATTTAGCATTACATCTTTTGTTCATCAAAGGATCCTCTGCAGTGAATGGGTGCCGTCAGAATGAGAGTCCAAACAGCTGATAAAAACATCACAATAATCCACACAACTCCAGTCCATCAATTACCATATTGTAAAGCGAAAAGCTGCATGTTTGTAGGAAACAAATCCATCATTGGGGCATTTAACTTTAAACCATCCCTTCTGGCCAAAATACGAGTCCATAATGACGCTTCCTCCAGTGTAAAAGTCCATCCCCTTTTGTCCTCGTAATCCACTGACATATTTTATTAGAATTGTTTTGGACTGTTTTCACATATAAATAGTGCTTGATCTCTGCACATTTCTCCCCTGATTCAGACAAGATGACTGTTTCACTGGTGAAAGCAATATTATAGATAGAGGACTTGTATTTTAGCATGAAGCAATGGTTTTGAAGTTAAAAATGTCTTGATGGATTTGTTTCTTACAAATATGCAACTTTTTGCTTCACAAGATGTTAATTAATGGATTTGAGTTGAGTGTAGATTATTGTGATGTTTTTATCAGCTGTTTGGACTCTCATTCTGACGGCACCCATTCACTGCAGAGGATCCATTGGTGAGCATGTGATGTAATGCAAAATTTCTCCAAAATCTGTTCTGATGAAGAAACAAACTCATCTACACCTTGGATGGTCTGAGGTTGAGTACATTTTCACTTTGGAGTGATCTATTCCTTTAAGGTGCGTTCACTTTTACAGCTGTTCTGCGAAATACTGTACATTTCATTAGGAATCCACGCGATGGGGAGTTTTACATGAGGGCGAAAGAATTCTCAACCAGATTTTGCAACAGGTTCAAGCTGATCAACTGAAAGCTCCTTGGTTTAAAAGAGATGAGCTGTTTCATACATTGCTACACTACTGACATTAGACAACCGATCTTTTCTGCCCGCTGACATTTCGCTAATGTGACTGCACCTAAACACTTATTACTGTTTAATTTGTAAGGTCGAAAAGAGGGTTGAAAATGTTCATGAGATGCTAAAAAATGTATGATATAACCCTTTGAATTTTTATTTTAATTATAAAATGTCATTCTGTCAGTCAGCCAACACCAAATAACGTCATAAAACATGATTTGTGTTTTCTCCCTTTTGAACATTTTAGCACACAAATGTTTTTCCCCTAGTTAATCTGTACACCTGCTATGGCCTGATAGAGCGTTTCTCTGTCTCTCTCTCTTTTCCTCTCTCTCTCTGTGGCTTTGCCAGAAATCCATGAGGTTCAGTCCTGATGCCACAGTATGGGTTGCTAAGCAGCAGATCCTGTGTACTCTCACACAGAGTCTGAGGGATGTGCTCAACTACGGGCTCTTCCAGCCAGCTGTGGACGGGAGGGAGAGTGGTTTCCTGGAGGAAGAACGACCCCTGAGAGACTATCCGCTATCCACCAATAAAGGCGTTCCAACCCTTGAGGTAACGTGTCACAATTCTGTTGCTTGAATGTTGCGGAGTCAACTTAAGCTCGATCCATGATGTAACTTTGACACAATATGTGCAAGGATACTAGAAAGGGACATTGGACGTCACTATCTGCAAAGTACTTCCACAAATATCCACAGGAATTATGCTGGTAGACACTGAACTAGAAGTTAATCTGCCTAGAACAGCAGTGCCGTCACTGACAGGAAGATTTGGACAACTTTAAAGCACAAATAGCACACAATTTTTTGTACGAAACAATCCATTTAAGCACTTTACCAAATATGTGAGCTTTGCATTTCTGCTTTAAAACCCTCCAGTACACTTGCCCCCTAATCTTCCATTGACAGTGTATTAGTGTAAACAGCTTTTATCATTGTTTTATTGTTATTTATTTATTATTTTTTCTTGTTCTTTTTATTTTTAATAAGGAACAAATCAAAATGGTTTTATGTGGTAATCAACATGAACAATAACTAATCTTATTAACTTTTTATTGTGAGAAGAAATGACCATGCATATTTATTATGTCAAGGAGGATCAGTTTATTTATAGTTTTTTTGTTTTCGTTTAATTATTTTACATTTTTAACATGTTTTTTTTCACAATTAATGGATCATTCATTAAAATTCAATTAAAATTGTTTTAATTTTATTGTGAGTGTAATATACATACATAGACTTCCAATGTAAATGCATTACTGTAAACACAGATTTTATTATTCTATTTCTTTTTAATTATTTAATATTATTTATTCATTTTTACAATTAAAGAAAAATCTGAATTATTTTTGTTGTTGTAATCAACATGAGCAATAATGAATAATTATCAAAATAATTTAACTGTGAGTACAAATGTCCACTCATATTTATTATGTCAAGGATAATCACAAAGGCAAAATGGTTTACTTCTTAAAATCCTTTTTTTAGTCCAAATAGTTTTTGTGATAATCAGCATGGACATTTATTAATATAAGTTATCAAAATAATTTAATTGTGAGTATAAATATCCATTCATATTTATGATTTATGTCAAGCACGATCCCAATGACAAAATAGTTTTGACAGTGATGATAACTGCTATAAATTGCCACCAATGCAGTGATATGAGGCTGGCATCACTCTTTAAAATGTGCTTTCTGTACAGGAGCATTCTCGGCTCTCTCTGTGAGAAGGCTGATGTCAAGCTGGTGTAACCAGAACCTTTTGTAGTTCTCCTGTATGTTCATTCAAGCCTCAGGGCCTGATATAATCATATTACTATCAAGGCAGCGACCAGCCAAGAAGAGCTGCAAATGGAGTATAATGAAACATATTTCTATTTTATCATTTGTTTGAGCTAAGGTTTATATAAATGATTTAAAGACATTATTTGTATGCCGTCTTGCTTACGAAAAAACTTGATGTTACCATAATACTTTAGTACTCTGATATAAAATAGGGTATTAAATAATTGTCTTATTAATGTACCATGATATTTGTAATCCATTTTTTTATTTGTAGCAGTACCATGGAACGTTTTGGATAATGCTTTATTATTTCTAGATTATTGTAAGTGTATTTCACGTCAAAATGTGTATTTTGTTAAACTGAATATTTAAAGATGATATTAATTACTAAATTAATCCAATGTAGCATATAAACGGAATGTTTTTTTCGCTCCGATTTAATTGTGCAGTTCCGTTACAAGAGCAGAGTGTACCAGCAGCCAAACGTCAACGAAAAGCAAATAGAAAAACTCCACACACAGGTATGACTTTTCTTTTTTTTAATAAAAATGTTGCTGTGACATATGTCGATTAGCCTACTATGCATATTTGTCAAAAATGTGTCTATTTTTGACGCGCAGGTGGTGATTAACTTGTTTTCCGTTATGATAATTGTGTCTTTTACATTCATATCAAATGGAAGCTATTTGCTTAATTGCAAGCAGGAGAGGGCGTCTTAGGATACGACTGTTAAAACAGGAAAGAAATGTTTGAAAATCTTGCTTTTTATATTCAGTCGCTAGGAATGAATATCTAAGCAATCATTCTAGAGTCTGCTGCTAAATAATGCAGGAGACCGGAGCATTTACATACATTTGGACTTAAAGCAGGATTTTAGGGGCGAGATGGTCATTGATGTTGACGTTTTAGTGTTTCGGCCAGTTTTTCCTCTGTGGTCATGAGCATTTTTGCAATCGAAGCTCCGAACCAAGTTTTAATTGCCGACTTCTTTCAGCACTGTATGTCCTGTGCTGTGCTTGATCTCTTCCTCTTTATTGCTCATCCTATATATCTCCCGTCACCCACACTGCTACCCTCAGCATTAAAAATTCCCCCACTCATTGCTCTGAGCTTTCAAGCTCCCTTAATAAGTTATTATATTACAGCTCTGTAAGCCACCAGGGTTTGTAAAGGATGACGTAGGAACAGCTTTGTGTACATAGTTGTTTCAGAGGAACAGATATTCACCTCAGATCATACTGAATATCAGTGCATTATACATGCAGCGGAGGCAAATGCTTAGAGGGGTTTGTTTTTAAAATCTGACTGCATTATAAAAAATTAAAAGGTGTAGTTGTTACCTTAAAGAGATATTTCTACGTGATCTGACTCTTAAAAATAATTTTTATTGGCGTAACCCAAGGAGAACTGTAATAACTGAAGAAAGCTGGCTGTTTGAACTCAATGGCAGTTGCTCGGCTGGTGCATAAATGATTGCTTATAGGCACTCATGGTGCATTCAAGTTATTTTGGAAAGATTGCATTTAAAATTTGAACGTTAGTGTTGGTAGGACGGGATCCAGAAGTTAAATAATACAAACTCTAATGTTTTGTACGAGTATGGCACTTACTCTATTGTGTTGGAGGTCTTTGTGTGTGCACTGGGTTGTGCGTAAGAGTTGACGTGCATTGATCTGTGTTCGTAGCATGCCGTAGCTTGCCAAGTGGTCTCTAACTCTTTGCCTTGCCAAATCAGCTGTGCTCCCTCTCTCTCTCTCTCTCTCTCTCTCTCTCTGATGTCTCTGTACTGGGAGCTGCTCTCCTATCTATTTTTATCTAGCCTTGTATCGCAGCATGTGTGTCCCAGAGATCTCAACATGAGAGAGGAAGTGAGCAAAGACCCTTCACACTCTTGTCAACTTCATTTCCATCACTCGCTCCTGTTCCTTAACTTCCTCCACAATCATTAGCTGTCAGTGTTTCTTGTTTAACCGCACCTGCACTCTCGTTCTCTCTTAAACCTCCTTTAAGGTCAACCTGAGGAAATTTATGGATTATATCCAGCATCATCAAGTGGACAAAGTCTCCAAGATGTTGGAGAGAGGGTTGGACCCCAACTATCATGACCCTGAAACTGGTGGTACGGGATGCCATATCAGATAACCTCCAGAATTGCACATTAAGGACTATTCGGGCTTTGTGCCCAAGCTACAGTTCCAGATTGATTGCTTTACAGCACCATTATTTTGTTTCCTTTTTAATCAATATGGTGTAGTAGTCAGAACATTACATTGTATTTCAGCAGTTAATATGTAACGTATTTACTCACTGATTTAATCTCATGGCCATATCCAATACCGATTATAAATTATATAAGATTATAAATCTTTACAATACTAAATGTACACTCTCACTATATATCTATAGTCTGTATGTTCTAGTCTATATAATCTATATATTCTACCTCAAAATTAGAACAAAATGGTTATTATGTAGGTTTATATTTTATTATATTTATATACACTATTGTTTAAAATGTTGTGGGTCGGTAAGATTCTTAATTTTTTTTTTAAAAGCCTCTTGTGTTCACCAAAACTGCATTTATTTGATAAAAAATACAGTAAAAGCAGTAATATTATGAAATATTATTACAATTTAAAATAACAGTTTTCTATTTCAATATATTCTAAAATATAATTTATTCCTGTGATGCAAAACTGAATTTTCAGTGTCATTACTCCAGTCTTCAGTGTCACATGATCCTTCAGAAATCATTCTAATATGCTGATTTGATGCTTAAAAAACATGTCTGATTATTATTATTACTACGTTAAAAACAGTTGTGCTGCCTATATATATATATTTTTTGTGTAAACCATCTTTTTTTCAAGGTTCTTTGATGAAGAGTCAGTTCAAAAGAACATTTATTTGAAACAGAAAACATTTGTAACATTTTAAATATCTGTAATGTCACTTTTGACTTTTAATACACACAATGATTTAATACATCCTTGCTGAATAAAAGTTACATTTTATTTATTATAAAAGTTTTAAAAAATAATTTCTTTGAAAATAATTTTTTTATTTTTATAAAAGTTTTAAAAAATAATTTCTTTGAAAATAAAATTTTTATTTTTTTTTACTGACCCCAAACTCTTACATGGTAGTGTATTTATAATTTTTCTTTTATCTTTATATTTACATTGTATTAAGTCACAAATAAAGGCGTAATTACAGTCTCACAATGTCATTTATATATTCGATTTTTTTTTCTCACAACTGTAACGACAAGTATCCGATATAGTCCAATATTATACATATTAAATTATTGTTTTGATAAAACATACAAATCCCTTGATTAATATCTTGCTTTTATTAAGAGAGATTTACCTAATACATTATAATGAACTTGTTTTTGTGTTTCTGGTCTGCAGAGACACCACTAACCCTTGCTGCCCACCTGGACAATATGGTGGAGATTATAGTGACATTGAAAAATGGCGGGGCTCATTTAGATTTCCGCTCTCGGGATGGGATGACTGCCCTGCACAAAGCAGCCAGGGCAAAGAACCAAATAGCTCTTAAGGTAATAAATGACCTCATTCAAAACGGGCATGAGTTTATGGCTGTGTTAGAGTGATCCTCTTCTTTGATTGTCACTTTGTTTTTTGTAAGAATGACTGCTGCTGATCTAACACAGAGCAGTACAGTGACATCTTACAGTGTCAGTAGTGCTGCTGAGTTTACAGTTTACATTCATTACTTTGACAGATTGTACTTTTATTCAAAGCACACTCTGTTTTTTTTTTTCTTCATTATTTTATTGTTGCTTTCTTCCCTTGACAACAATTGGAAATAATACTGCTGATGTACTACTGTTTTGTGCCCTGAATATTGTAAAACACAATTTCCTGTCTGCCGTTGCTCTCGTAGTATATTGCTTGCTGGCCGTTTACTTAAAAAGGCTTCATGCAGAATCTTAGTTTATGTCAGTTTGAAGTTCTAGAGCCATAGATTTCTTATTTTCATTGCTGAGTGGCTGGGTTTTGTAATTTTAGAAGGAAAAATTACTTGTAATCATTTAGTTATGAAACGAAAATGTACTTTTACTCATGCAGTTATGAAACTGCTTGGTTTTGTAAAATTTAATAAAAAAACCCAAAGACATTATCTAAAAAAAAAATCAAGCAGATTTGTTTACATGCATATGTATTGTTTTACATACTTGTTAACGTTACATGTTTTTGCAGAGTACTTAAATTTGTAGGTTTTATAAGTTTTATAATATTTGTTATGCTTTATAAGATTAGTTGTGTTTGACAACCAAAATGTAAAGTGAATGTTTAATGATTGGTTATAATAATTCAAGCCACTTTTTCTGAAATACAGTGCCGTTCAAAAGTTTGGGGTCAGTTAGATTTTTTTTTTAAATTTATTTTTAAGAAATTAATACAGTGAATGCAGTTCTGCAAGGATGCATTAAATTAATCAAAAGTGACAGTAAATTTGTAATTTTACAAAAGATCTCCATTTCTAATAAATGCTGTTGTTTTGAACTTTCTATTTATTAAATAGTTCTAAAAAAAAAAAGTATCCTGGTTTCCAAAAGAACAAAAATGATCAGCACAACTTTAAACATTGATACTAATAATATGAAATGTTAATTGAGCAGCAAATCAGTAAGATTTCTAAAGGATCATGTGACACTGAAGACAGGAATATTGATGCTGAACATGCCATCACAGGAATAAATTGCTTTCTAAAATATATTAAAATAGTAAAAATATTTCACAACTTTACTGTTCTGATGTATTTTTCATCAAATAAATGCAGCCTTGGTGAAAGAGGCTTCTTTCAAAAACAATAAAAAAATGTACCAACCCCAAACTTTTAAACAGTAGTGTAAAAGCTAAGAAGCCTTCATTTTTAATTTGGCTTGTCACACATGGACATTAAAAAAAGCTGAAAAAGTGCACAAGAACACACAATCCCAAACCCATCACTAGCAACTATCCTGAGCTGTGGCGTGAAAGGCAGCAGACAAGAAAAAATAGTCCTTTCATCCTTTAAGACCCTTCCAAAAAACAAGGCTCTGCTTAAACATAAGCATAATATCTTATTTGGTGTATTTTCCTCTCTGAAGGAAACCTAATCCTCTTTTCCCTCTGCAGACTATGTTGGATTTGGAAGCGTCTCCAGACTATAAGGACCGGCAGGGCTTGACTCCACTCTACCATACAGTGACTGTAGGGGGAGACCCGAGCTGCTGCGAGGTCCTACTGCGTGCCCATGCCAGCGTCGGATGCCATGATGAGAACGGCTGGCATGAGATCCACCAGGTGCCGCTGTCTTTCACATTATTAGCTGGTGACAGTCAATGAAAAAGCTTTCGGTTGAGAGTGAGGTAATATATGCATCAGTGTAGTGAAGCTGTGGAAGTTGTAATAGAGCTGCAGTTTTATATGACAGCAGCTTTGTTCAATTAATGGACAGATGAGGAGATCAAACTAGTTGAACACATCATCAAGTCCATCTGTTGTGACGGCGTACTGGCATCTAGTGTTGTGACAGGTGGATTGCAGGATGCCAGTCAAATAGTTTCCGTGGTGTTTTTGATGGCACTCTGCTGGGAAAACGGAAAAGCAGCATGTATGGTTTACTTTTAGACACTTTGAAAAATATGAGATGACAACGTACTGAAGGCTTAATGATGTTTTCATGTTTTAAAAGACTTTTGGATCTGTCATAGGCTGCTGTATGAATTTTTAAGGCTCACAAAAGCTTTTCTTTCAGAAGAAACTGTTACAAGATCTGTTTGCTCATTTTTCTCACTAAAATGATATGCTGTGTGAACTAGTTGTTCCCATTTTGTATGGCAGGCTTGTCGATACGGCCACATCCAGCACCTGGAGCATCTCTTGTTCTACGGAGCCGACATGCATGTGGAAAATGCATCTGGGAATACGGCTCTCCATATCTGCGCTCTGTACAAACAGGTATGTACTCACACTGTACATGTAATGATCCAAAGTCAGCTCCATTTGAAAAGTCAATAAACAGAGGTTATTGGCGTCATACAACAGAATACGCTGTCAAAAGGAGAGTATATTAAAAAAATAGTTTTCTCTTTGTGGATCAATAACGTTTCGAGCGAAAAATCAATGGCCCCAGGGCCAGAGATGAGATTGAGTGCAGCAGGGAAACTTTCTGAGAAACTTTCATTTTTGGGATTAAACTGGGATTTGGGGTTTTGGGATTTCTTTAAAACAAAACAAAAAAAAAACGTGTTTTAATGCATGATAGAAATATGTTAACTGGAAACCCTATTATTTTCATGATATTATGACAATTTATATATAAAATCTTCAAGTATATATTAAATGTGACATGTTTATATATATACAGGTGCATCTCAATAAATTAGAATGTTGTGGAAAAGTTCATTTATTTCAGTAATTCAACTCAAATTGTGAAACTCGTGTATTAAATAAATTCATTGCACACAGACTGAAGTAGTTTAAGTCTTTGGTTCTTTTAATTGTGATGATTTTGGCTCACATTTAACAAAAACCCACCAATTCACTATCTCAACAAATTAGAATATGGTGACATGCCAATCAGCTAATCAACTCAAAACACCTGCAAATGTTTCCTGAGCCTTCAAAATGGTCTCTCAGTTTGGTTCACTAGGCTACACAATAGGCCCTTTCGCACCGCTTTAGTTCCAGAACAAGTTTTGTATTTCATTTGGAAACCAAGGTCCTAGAGTCTGGAGGAAGGGTGGAGAAGCTCATAACCCAAGTTGCTTGAAGTCCAGTGTTAAGTTTCCACAGTCTGTGATGATTTGGGGTGCAATGTCATCTGCTGGTGTTGGTCCATTGTGTTTTTTGAAAACCAACGTCACTGCACCCGTTTACCAAGAAATTTTGGAGCACTTCATGCTTCCTTCTGCTGAGCAGCTTTTTGAAGATGCGGATTTCATTTTCCAGAAGGATTTGGCACCTTCCCACACTGCCAAAAGCACCAGAAGTTGGTTAAATGACCATGGTGTTGGTGTGCTTGACTGGCCAGCAAACTCACCAGACCTGAACCCCATAGAGAATCTATGGGGTTTTGTCAAGAGGAAAATGAGAAACAAGAGACCAAAAAATGCAGATGAGCTGAAGGCCACTGTCAAAGAAACCTGGGCTTCCATACCACCTCAGCAGTGCCACAAACTGATCACCTCCATGCCACGCCGAATTGAGGCAGTAATTAAAGCAAAAGGAGCCCCTACCAAGTATTGAGTACATGTACAGTAAATGAACATACTTTCCAGAAGGCCAACAATTCACTAAAAAAAAATTTTTATTGGTCTTATGAAGTATTCTAATTTGTTGAGATAGTGAATTGGTGGGTTTTTGTTAAATGTGAGCCAAAATCATCACAATTAAAAGAACCAAAAACTTAAACTACTTCAGTCTGTGTGCATTGAATTTATTTAATACACGAGTTTCACAATTTGAGTTGAATTACTGAAATAAATGAACTTTTCCACGACATTCTAATTTATTGAGATGCACCTGTATGTATATGTGTATATATGTATATACAATTAGAATATAAGTGGGATGTTCTAGTATATATTTGTATCACATTCCATTATTAAAATTATTGTTTTAAAACTGAAAACAGAATTTTAGGACTCTGCTCTATTTTGGGATCACTAATAAAAAAACAAGTACTATAATAAAATACATAATATACAATTTTAGTACAAATATATGCTGAAATGATGCCATGTTCATTTGTATAAATGCCAATGACCGATTGCCACTAATTACACTGGTCATTATTCACCATTGTCTCCCATTCCATCCATGATCAAGACGTCAAGAACTACCGAGGACAAACACCCTTTCAGGTACATCAATGTATTTCTTTGCTTGGCTACTTTTTAATAACTGAAAACTATTTTTTTTTTTCAAATAAGCTTGCTCTTGGAAGTTTAGTCAATTTTGTTGGTTTAGTGTTAAAAATTACCACAACCCTGAGTGCCGAATGAACTTGCGTCTGTTTGTTCTTTCACGCAGAGTTCTTAATTAATTAGACACAATGCCACACAAAAGCACAGGCATTATGTTAGACAGCACTCAAAGAACAATGAGTGAGCGTGAGGGTAATTAATCATTTTATTATATTTGTTTGCATGGGCTTTTGGTATCTTCAGATAATTAGGAGTTAGATTTTAGAGAGGGGAAATAATGAACATCAAATCAGTTCTTGTAGTTTTCTTAAATGTTTTAGTTGAAATTAGCTAGTAATTGCTTTTTTTCCCCTAGAAAAATCTCTGGTTATTTTGTTTGCTTACTTAAAGAGTTTCTTTCTCAAATGTCAGATTGTGACATTCAATAGCTTGTCTGACAGCAATGGACATGATCCAAGTCTGTGGCCATGGGCTGATGAGAGTGTTGCGTTTACTGTTCAGTGGCCGTAGGGTTAGAGTGAGCAGAGGCGGCGGGCTTGAGAACGGCGTGGCCGGCGGATTCGACGAAGGAGGCTTGCGGCAGCCACATGTGACGACCCCGGGCTGGACTCCGCTTCGTCCACAATGAAAGCCAATCTGGTGATCCACAGCGCGAAGTTGATGTATTTCCTCAGCAACCAGCACGGATCAGCTCCAGGCATGACGAAGCAGATATCGTCCTCTTTTGGAAGACCAAACAAAGTAGTTTCGTTTTCACAACGAAACACACAACACCTTCACGACATGGTGGCGGCAACAATACTACAGCGAGAATAAAAGTTACGCCTTCTTTCTTTGCATGAACATTTGGGCTGCGTTATGCAAATCTTCCCACATAGTGACGTAGATATGTGGGGGCGTGTTAGAACGAGGCGTTTTAGGTAGGCGCGGTTGACTCTTAACTTTTATAAAGAATATCTCTTTGGATTTGAGACGTTAGTCTTTGCAACTTTACAGATCTTCTTGCACCAGGAGCTTATAACACTCCAAAGAGAAAGGAAAAATTTAAATCGCATCATATGACCCCTTTAAACAAACTGCAATGTTTTGAATACAATGCAGAGACACGGTGTTTACACTTTTCAGGGGAAGCGAACTACAAATTATGTACTTGCAGCTCAAATAAAAGTACTGAAAAATTGACACACATACACGTTTACAGGATACAGGTGATATAGGAGCTTATAATATTTCATGTATATGATTGATTTTACATTGTGATATATTATAATAGGATTTGTTTCAGAACTAATCTTTTAAGTACCCACTTCTAATTAAATTATTTTTTATTATTTTGAGTTCAGTTGCTATAAAAATAACATAATCCTAACCCATAATCCCTACCCCTCATATTACTATCATAATGAAGTGAATTATTAAAGCTTTTAAGCAAATGCAGATAGCAAAATAACATGTACAGTAAACCCTTTAATAGCAAACACACCAACATCAATACTGTACTAACACACCCACATAATGAAAGCTTAACCCTTTGAAATGCATCCTCCTTGACAGAAATCTCCGTATCCTTTTTGCTCTTCGCCACATCTATCACATTGTATTTTAATTCATAGTTTGATTTCACAGTGCGCAGACCTGTTCATCCAGCAAAAGCTTTTTTGACAATGTAGCATTTAACTTTTATGGTATTTTTTAAGTTCATGGTTATAGTTTAAACACCTTTTCTGTTTTTCAATGCATTATCCAGAGCGGAAAAAATAATTGGTTTGAATGTATGCCTTTACAGTACTGAAATATATGTTGTTGTTTGTGCCTCAAGGAAAACTGTGGCTTTTATTAGCAAGATGGCACATATCGCAACAGTAATCCAATGGCAAACCTCCAAAATCATTCAAATAGAGCTGAGATCATTAGTTTTGCAGTCGACTGTACAGTCAAGCGCATCAAGCCAAACATTAGCTACACTTGCTGCTACATTTAGTGTTCATAGCTGGCCTCGTTGTGCTAGTTGCTCGGTTTACAACCTCTAAAGCTTTGAACTGACCCTGCTCACTCCAAACCTGATGTAGGAGTGAAGTGTTTATGTAATGTACATATCAGTGCCCTCCTGATGCGTTGTTTAATGCGCTGTATTATTCATCTCATGCTGCTAAAATCATATTTCAGGCTCGGCGATCGCTTGATTACAACTCATTTAAGCAGCTCATGAAACTTCAGGCTCTCCGCTGGAACGCTCCGATTCACCTGGTTAAACAGGACTTTTCCCTGGCAAAATCGAATATGTGCTGAGCAAATTGTATTACCGTTACCCTTTTATTCTAAGAATGATGATACGGGTCAACAGCAAACCGAAATGTTCCGGTTCTTACTCACCAGTGTGTACTTTCGTACGTCTGACCATCCAAAACGGCTTGTGTAAATTTATTTAACAGTACAACTAATTTCTTGACCTTTTTGTTTCAGAATTAGGCCTTACTGTGCCAACTGACTTACCTTTCTGTTGGTTTTTTAAATATTTAATTAATCTAACTTTAGCTCTAAGCTGCTGCCAAGCACTGTATTTCTTTAGAAAAGGAATGCAGTTCTTTTCAAGCTCATTATGTAAATCTTAGCAACTAATTTAGTGTAATGTGAATGAAGTCTGTGTTTTATCACTCTTAGGAATACACTACTCCAAAACCCACAAGAGTAATGGTTTACTGTGCCTTTGTGCACCATTTAAACCCCAGTTTTGTTCTCATCAGGAAGAGGAGACTCATCCATATACACGCACACTTGCACACCAGCAGAATTCTTACTATTTCCTGTACTGAATTTAGGCCATTATCAAGTCTTAGGTTTTTTTTCTGATCAGAATTGTCACGTTCAAGTTTTTTTGTCACATTTGTACTGGTTTTTCTGGCCTGCAATGCTAATCTTCGTCTCACCGACGTGCCATACAATTGTTAACCTGCTTATTGAATGACATTGAGGGACTTTGATTGCTTTGTCAGTTCATTTTCCCTCTGTATTAATGTAAAATTGAAAAGTGGGATTACGTTTCCAGGGCAATACTCTTAAAAATAAAGGTTCTTTATTGGCATCGATGGTTCCATGAAGAACCTTTAACATCCATGGAACCTTTCCATTGCACAAAAGTTTCTTTTTAGAGGAAGAAGGTTCCCAGGGTTTCTGCAGGTCTTAAAAAAGGTCTTTACAGTTTGTGTTTTCACAAATTAAGGCCTTAAAAGGTCTTAAATCGGAGCAGAAGGTCTTAAATTCATAAAGTCATGGCATTAAATCTTACATGCACTGTAAATCTTCCTCTGGGTTTTTGTTTTGATTTCCAATTCAAATATCTAAACATCCTTAAATCAAGATACATTTACTTGAGATGCAAACTGAACATATGAAGTCTTGTTTTCTGAGAAATGGAAGGAATTTTAATAAGTTTATGCTTAAAACAAGAACAAATGTCTGCCAATAACTATCAAGTTTCCATCACCCTGTTTTTTAATGCACATTTTGAAGTATCGCATCAGATTCTCAATTTCGGAATTTTTTTTTTGACTTGTGCGAAATGAGTTAATGCGAATAATGAGAGATGGAAACGCATTTGCCAAATAAATTGATCCATGCACATCAAAAAAGCCATGCGACTTTGCATGAATAGACGGGATAACTTGACTAACCAGTAGACCGATCTCTTGCACAGCATCTCAAATGTACAGTATTTCTGTATAATTGCCTCCCAGAACTGTCTTACATGATATTGATTTAATGAGACTGTGGATACCAGCTGCAGTGGCCGGACCCTCTGAGGTCCGGAGGAATTGTTTGTTACATAGAGTCTTTAATTGGATGAAAATGTCTATTCATCTTTAGCTCTGCTCGAAGGATGGGCAAAGGATTTAGAAATTGCTGATACATAAGAAAGGATGTTTTCTTTATCAGGAAAGATTAATCAAAGCAACTGAAGCAAAGGCAATTGGCACTTTTTTTATGGCTGGGTTGTTAATAGCATGAGCAGAAAAATTAGAAGAAAGCAAAAAGAAAGAGGAGGCTGTCAGTAGAGAGTTAACTCACAGGGTTTGCTTTGGGTTATTTTAAAGTGGAGCTCTTTTTATTTTGAAACATGGCCATATCATAATCGCTTCCTGAAAACACATTCACAGCTCCCACTGGGAACCAGTTTCAAACGATTTTGCCGCTTATGGTGTTATTACTTGTGTGAGAAGTTAAATTAGATGTGAGAAGCTGTCAGTTTTATCATTTTGCTGGCTCATTAGACCACAGAGATGGAATTGAGATTTCTAATGATCCACAAATTATGTTGGATTTATTGTTCTGCTCTGTCCATCCCTGCTATGTACAAGTCATATAATTAGTAGTGTACATTCGGAGAAATATGGGGTCCAAAAGTCGTTAGATATCTTGAAAATCTGGGATTTTGCGGGGATTTTTTAATTTTTTTATCTGGAAATAAACATTTAATTATTTCAAAAAAACTGTTATGTGATGTGGTAATGAAGAACTGATGAAAGTAAAAGTTTGAATATTGGTAGCAAACGTCAAACAGTGTTATTTTAGTATTATTTATATGCTATTATAGTATCTATAAAGATTTAAAATTAACTTTTATTTTCAGTTATCATTTTAATTAAAGTTTTAATAATTGTGTGATTTTGGCATTTTTATTTTCATGCTTTTATATATATATATATATATATATATATATACAATTAATAATAATTAATCATAATTTTAATAATTTATGCATTTAGCAGACGCTTTTATCCAAAAAGCGACTTACAGTGCGGTCAGGCTGTACATTTTTTACCAGTATATGTGTTCCCTGGGAATCGAACCCATGACCTTTTGCGCTGCTAATGCAATGCTTAAAGTTTTTATAAAGTTTTTATCTGATATTTATTTATTTATTTTTCAGATTTATTTCAATTAACGAAAATTTATTTTACTTTCAGTTAAGTACAAACTCTGTTGGGAAATCAATTATTGGTTAACAAATCCTAAAAAATTTGTAAATAAATTTAATTCATTCATTCATTCAGTAAATACATTTTTGTGGATAATCAGGTTTTGCACAAACTTGGGAAGTTCATGCCAGTTTGAATACTGCTGTCATCAAAGCAGCAGTCCAAACCAAATTCTGAAGTTCATGTTTATTTTTAAATTCAACTTTTCACTCATTTTTTTTCTCTAAAGCAAAATGTAAAGATTTGCACTAGTGGTCTCAGACTTTGGGATCCCTCTGTATATTTATCAACTCCATATCCATATATATGCTGACGACATCATACCCTGACACAGATTTTAATATGCAAGAATTCCTTCTTTCTTGTTTCCTCAAAGATCTTTTTTTTCATCTCATGCCAGAAAATGGGAGGAGGGGATAAAAAGAGAGGGAGGGAAAGAGAGCTTGAGAGAAAATTGTGAATTGCTAGTGTGAAAGGACAGCCCACATACATGGGTAACGGGAGAATTCACAACCCAGCAACTTGCACTGACTAATTTAGACATCCATCCCTGGGTTGCTTAGCAACACTCGGGGGCTTGATTCCCATACAGCTGTTTCGGCGAGCCAACAAGGGTTAAAATCCCTAATCAATAACACCTCATTGTCGCAAGTTAATTCAAGCGTCTTGATTGCATGTTCTGTGGGTGATCATCAGCAAATTTGAAAAACCCTTCTCATGATATCGCCAGGCACTGATGGGCCAAACTTGAAGAATTTTGGGGCAACTGTGTTTATCTCAGTACTTTGTGTCATAATGGTTTTGAATCAAATTATCCCAGCATGGTCTTGTCACACAGCTGATTCAACAACACACTCCAATCAGTCTTCTGCCTTGTCTACCTAGAGGAATCCAAGCAGGGGGAGGCTTGAACTGATAGTACAGTGAATGATTTGATGGCGGGGAGAGAGTGATGTAGAGGAAGAGAGATAGAGAGAGAAAAGGGGGCGGGGCGAATCGGAAAGAAACTGAGACCGAGTGAGAGAGTTAGTGTGTATGTATGTGTGTCAGCGAGAGAGAGAGAGAGAGAACGAAGAAACATGCGAGGCTTGTGCACTGTGCTGTATCCTCTCGCAGTCACAGTCGGCATCATGTGGAGCGGGCACTGTCCCCACAGTGCTTGCCTTCTCCGTAACCCTCTCTGTTGTGCTTTACTGACCGAGGAACCCCAGTCCAGGAGAACCTGACCTTCTGTTTCCAAGTTCCTCAAGGCGAAACTGACATTCCAAGGGAGTTATTAAGCAATAAACTCAGAGGAGATATGAAGTCTTTACTGAATGCCTTCAAGAAAGAAGGTAAGAGGTGATCTTTTGGGGTTTTGAGAGTCTAGAGCAGGGTTCTCTGATATTTGGTGACTTCTGTTCCATGGGATTCGTGCTCAGAACTCCAGCCTTAGAGCTACACGGTGTTCCGACTTTTCTTAGCTGAGGAAAAAGTCTTTGAGTTCCATCATATATTATGACAGATTATAAAGAAAGTTGAATCTTGTGAGGTCAAGTGTGAATTAGTGTGAGGTGGAGAGAACATCACTTTGAGAGAGTCATTTTCTTTCTGCAAGGAATTCAATCAACTTCATGCTGTGAATTTTTAATCTTCTTGGATATTCTAAGAGTTCCATATTTGTTCTACCTTTCCTACAGTTTTGTTTATTGGAATTGGTAAATTTTTTTATATTTAGAATGCTGCAGTTGGAGTGTTGCCACTTTGATTTCAATTGTTTGAAGGAAACGACTGTTTCATCGGCGTTCCAGAACAAACGTGTTCGGGCAGCCAATGTGCTTGTGATGTCATCGTCTTCAGTTGGTGCCAGAAATAAACCATAGTTGGTGCCTATATAAACCATGTAGTTTTTTTTTTTATCCTTTTGTGACATTATCAGTGTCGGTTTCTTTTCATTGGCAGGTTTCATGTGGCATCACCTGCCACATCAGTGAGGGCTGAGTGGATTTCTTCACGGCTTGTGGGGGGTTGGGTTTGTACATTATTGCCGTAATGATCCCCCTACAGTAGCCTTTTAAATAATAAACAGGAGCATATGTATCTCTGAGACTGTTTGTCATAATGAACATCATCCAATGAAAACCTTCCATGACAGTGAAGGTGATCTAACTGCTTCACGTTGCCATTACATCAGCACATTAATGAACAGGGGAGACTGATGTGTGTTTAGTGGCATAATTCTCCTCAATGCTTCTCCTGGGTTATTTTTCAGAATATATTTATAGCGTTTGTCTCACCCAACAAGTGATATCTAGTTCATGTGTGAACTGTTTTTTAGCGGCCTAGTGTTTCTGAGAAACAAGCTCCTTTGGATAAACGTCTTCCTGAACCACCTTTAACATGGCAGCAGATAAGTAATTATAGGCATTCATCATGCATACAGTGCGAACAGTGAACTCAAGGGATTTCCCCTATGCCCAAGAAGGGGGCTGTTGTTGAGATGTAGGCTTCATT